TGAAGGAGTGAGCGTGTGTGTGCACGAGCACACGGGCACACTGATGGAAGGGATGGAAGGAATGCAGCTTGCCTTTGTCACTTAATTCTTTCAGAAGTGTTGGGGAGTGGCTCCTAGGGGTCAGACATGGGTACTGGGGACATGGGGCCAGTCACCTTCTCTGCCCTCCAGGAACTTGGGGGAGGAGGGGGAGTTGCAGCTGTCGCTGCGTTGCAGGTGCCAGGGAGCACGTGGAAGGGGCTCCTGTGACCCCCGCTTGGCTCATTTCGCCTCCTCAGATCTGACCCAGCAGATGCCTCCTGGGCTTCCACCGTGTGGCTCAGAGCAGGGCTTACAGGCGTCCATGGGTGGCTAGGTGACAACCCCAAGGTTACGGTAGAAGGGGAGACCCTCAGCCAAGCTAGCCAGGTCATGGGGCGGAACGGAGAACTCAGAGATGGCCTGTCTGCTGGGATAGCTCAGGCCCTTCTACCAGGGATGTTTTCGGGACGGTTGTCGTGACGCCGCGCTGTGAGCAGGCACTTGGCCTCCGTTCCTCAGGCCCTTCCCTCACTGGCTCATCCATTCCCTCTCAGGCCCTGCACTTCACCTTTGCTCACGTGCATGCCCACTGGGCTCAGGACTTTGTTCATGGGCAGCTCCTGCACTGGAGTGCTGAGGGGCCAGCCTGGCATGGCCACCAGCCCCCTCAGTGGCATCCTCAGCCCGGGATCCAAGCAGGTATTTCAGGATCTCTGTAGACAAGTTGGACCAAGAGCATCCGAAGGTCCGTTGGGAGCATGGTGCCTCCAGGAAGCCAGGTCATGAAGAGAGGTGCTGTCTTCAGGAGGATGTGCTTCCAGGGAGAGAGGTCCCGGGGTGACGTGGGGTGTGGTGCATTATCTGTGGCCAGCCTGAGCTCCTGAGACCACAGCAAAGTGACAAACATGCCAGGAAACGTACACACCGTGCTCATAAACGCTCTGCTGCTGCGGGGGGGGGGGGGGAGTAAGGAGACTATTACTGTTCCACTCAACATTCTCAGCGACCATACGCTTTTTTATTTATTTATTTTATTTAATTTGCTGTAGGGTACATATGGAGAGAGACAGAGAGGAAAAGTGGAAAAGTACCCCCCAGGGGGATGGCCATACTACAGTCCCTTCTCCATTCTCCTCTTGGGATTTTGGGCACGCACGCACACGTGTCACAGGGTCCAGGACTTGAACCATGAGGTCGGCCCTATGGAATCCAGCTGTCTTAACAAGCATGCCCCCTGGCTAGTCCCTATATGACCACACTCTTTTACCCCAGCACTCCCCTCTAAAGCATTCATCCTTCGGAAGCGCTTACCCAGGCGCATAAGCAAGTATTTGGGTTGGCTGAGAGAAGGACCACAGCCTAGAGATCAGCGGTGGGAGGACGGCGAGGTCCATGAGGACACAGCCGAGGGCCGAGGGCCGAGGCAGTCTGCACAAACAGGTGGGAGAGGTGTCTGCGGTACTTTGTTGCGGAAAAGCAAAGATCCCGGCTTCATATGTGAACCTGACCTGGGCAGATCGTACATGGCGGGTCTGTCTGCTGAGAAACTGCAACCCCCCCTCCCCCCCGTGGGAGCGGCAGGCGGGAGGAGCGCCCCCTACTTTGCATTCTGCACACGTCTGGTTTCATGAACAGGCATGTACTCCTTTTGTGACTTCTGAGAGTCAGTACACATTTCCAAGGCAGTAGAACGCGCAGAAAGCCCCCAGCAGGCTCTCCAGAGTGCATGTGTTCCCCAGGAGCTGAACAGGACCTGCCGGGCCATGCAGCAGCGCATCGTGCAGCTCATCTCCCGCGTGTCCAACGAGGAGGTCACCGAGGAGCTGCTGCACGTCAACGACGACCTCAACAACGTCTTCCTCCGCTACGAGAGGTGGGGCCATTCCTTTTCTTCCCTGGAAGAGATTGTTGCCATAACAGAGGGATTTCGTTCATAAACAAAGGGGAGAGAGAGAGAGAGATTAGAGTTGGAAAATACTCATCAGAGATGCTAATTTGTTCCCGGATGACAGGGAAAATGCTTCTTGTTCTCCTGGGAACCGAGCAGCAGGAAGTTGACGTGCGGAATTAGGCTCTGCCCTTTGTACGCCTCAGGCTGCTCTGCCTTCCCGCTCCGCCCCTCCCCCGCCCCGCAGGGGGAGGACAGGAGGGGTCTGGCCCCAGGAGCCGCTGCACCTGCTCCTGTGATGAGCCTTTGAATTTGAAAAGGATTAAAGGGGTGTAAAAAAAAAAAAACCTCTCTACTCAGAAAAAGGATTTCCTCTTTCCCATCTTTAAAAAAGGAAAAAAGCTTTTCCCTTTGCAAATGTCAGTGTGTCTGGAGAGCACAGGAGAAGCTGGCAGGTGTGGGTGCCGGATGCCGCCCGCCCCGCCCACCGCTTAGAGAGCCACGCACACACTCATTTCAGTTCCTTCTGCAGCCAAATCATCTTGGGGCTTGAGGTCACAAACTTGCCAGTTCTTTTCCTTTTCGAAGGCCTTCCCTCCAGACAAAATCCAAAGCATCTTCTTTAGGCCTCGTTTTAAATAGGAAGCAGTTCCCATGTCATCACCCTCATGAATGCACCTGCCCCGTGCCAGGGGGGAGAGACCTTGACAAGGCCAGCTTTCTTCTCTCACAGCTGAGGCACGCATTTACTGAGGGGCTCCTGGGGAGGGGCAGGGCTGGCTGGCGCCAGGTCACCAAGTCACTGGGACAGATACTGGCACGGACACTCCTTCAGGTGCTTAGAGCGTGCTTTTGTTGTGGTTGTCAAAACCCGGGCTGGGCCTTGGCCTTTTAAATTTGTATCTTATTGTATTTTTACTTTTTTATTGGGTATGTGTGGTCACTGGAGAGAGAAAAGCAGAGAGAGAGAGAAGAAAAGGAAGAGAGAAAGAGAGAAAGCTCTCCTTAGGGGGATGGCCACATTTAATCCGTTCTCCATTCTCCTCTTGGGATTTGGGCACACGCCCTGGCTTGGTTTTCAAGCTGCTGGGTCTGGCTCACTTAGCCATGTGGAATCCAGATGCTTAATCACAACACCCCACCAGCCCACCTGCTTTGCTTGTTTGTTTACTCATTTATCTCTTCCGTGGGTAAGAGAGACAGAGAAAGAGAGATGCCCCCCAGAAGGGTCTTCATGCACGACCCCCCAGCTGTGGGTTACAAGCATGCCTGGTGAACTCAGGAAGGTCTCTGACGCCAACCTGGAACCTCCCCACCTGGGTCAGCCCCGCAGGCCTGCATCTTATCCCTGCACAACGGTCTCGCTCCTGGTTCAGCTTCTGACTGTGGAAGCAGGCACGATGGCCCTGCACCGGTCTGACAGCGGAAGGAATCCCTGCGGTGGGGTGTAGGTGAGCCAGGGGCACACAGAGCAGACCCAGGGCCTTGGCCCCAGCCCGTGGCCCCTTTGTCTTGTCACGTGTCCCCAGTCTCCATGTGAGCAGGCATGGTTTCAGCCTGCTCAGCCAGTGAAGCCCCTGCTGGGGGACGTGGTGAGAGCTGCTGTGGGTGTTCTCAGCCGGAGGCCCAGTGTCACAGAGTTCAAGGCCAAGCCTGGGCCAGCAGCCTCAGTTGCCATCCTGGTTAAAGCTCCCTTGATGAGAATAATGAATGGTACCTCAGGTGGGAGACCTTCAGGATCACGGGTTTTTCAGATGTGTTAATATTCCTCTCCTTCTTACAGGCCATGGCTGAAAGCCACACAGGTCTTCCTCTCTCTTTTTATTTAGAATTATTTTCATTTAACATTATTATTATTATTATTAATCTGACAAGAAAAAGAGGGAAAGTGATAAAACAAGCCATCAGGTCCAGGACTCAAACCAAGGTCAGCCATGTGCGAGAGTCCAGCGCCTCTAACCACCATGCCACCTCCCAGCCCCATACACACAGGTCTTCCTTAAAACCACAGTGGAGGGACCAGCAGTTGGCATGATGTCTATGTTGCTGGACTCCCATGTGGTCGACCACGGTTCAAGTCCCAGACCCGGTGACTTAAACTCATGGTGGGCGTGCCCAAGATCCTGAGAGGAGAATGGAGAAGAAGGGATTGTGGAGTGGCCATCCCCCCTGGGGGGTGATTTCTCGCTTTCTGTTTTTCTGTCTCTCTGTCTCTCTCTGTCTTTCTGGTGAGTGCACGTGCCCTATAGCAAAAACCTCTCCCCCCAAAAAAACTACAGTGGACCCACACTGTCTAACGAGATTGTTTGTCCTGGGGACAATCTTGTCATCAAGTGCTGACCCCAGAAATAAATGCAGAGCAGCCTGCCTCACCAAGGCCCAGTTTCTCAGGCTCCTGCAGAAAATAAATGAATAAATAAATAAAAAATAATCTCCTAGCTACCTCTTTGTCCATGGCATTTGGAGCTTTTAAATCAGGTGTAGAACACAATCCATTCTCTCTCTCTCACACACACACATGCACGTCCACGCACACACACAAACACAACTGCTTTTACGTTCTCCACCTGGTGTGAGGATGCCGCGGGTGTGGGCAAGGAGAGGCTTCCTGCCAGGCGTTATCCAGCGCCCACGTGCCAGCAGGCCCCCGCCACAGTCCCTCCATGGCTGGCCAAACCTCCCTGCAGCAACCAGTGAGCCTTCTCGCCAAGCCGCACCAGGCCCTGAGCTTGCCTCCCCCTCCTGGAGTCTGCCCACACAGCCTGTGCCCTTTCTCCAGAGGCCAAGGTGGGGCCTTTTCGCAATATTAGCGAATCTCTCCTGAGCACAGCTCTGTGATGTGGGGGGGTCTGCAGCAGATGCATCTGAGATGCCCCAAGGGGTGTGGCTCAACCAACCTCCCCTCTGAGGGCAAGGGGAGCCCTCTGGGTCTAGGAGATGGCTAGGGCTGCTTATGGCGGTCCCGTACTGTGCCCACAGACAGGCTCCCTGATCCCCACCGAGGTGCTGTGCCATGGCCGAGCAGCTGACCCTCCTCGGGGGGTCCCACACAGGGGGGCATGGTGACGTCCCCCAAGTGGGAGTCTCCTTCCTGCAGCCCCTGCAGGGTCCCCTGCACAGGCCCGGAGGGTACCAGAGGCCACACGCAGGTCTCCCTCCGTCCTTACTTCTGCTTTCCCTTCCTCCGTTAGGTTTGAACGGTACAGGTCAGGCCGGTCGGTTCAAAATGCCAGTAACGGAGTAAGTACCCCTTCAGAGCCCAGCCTCCCGAGGCCCTGCCCAGCCCTCCACATCACAGGGGCTGGGCTACCTGCCTCCCTGGGGCTTCCCTCCAGCCCTTCTAATTGGGGTTAAACGTGGCAGTTGGAGCAAGCGCTAGTTGGTGGGATTCTGGGGAGAGCCAGCAGACACCCCTGCTGGGGCGGTGGCCCCGGTCTACTGTGGCACTCAGGGGGATGTTGTGGTCGCCACAACCCCAGGCCATGGCTCAGCTCCTGACTGTGGAAGCAGGGGCTGGCCTGTACCCCTGTGAAGATGAGGAGACCCCTGCAGGAGGAACGTGGGGCAGTCGCCCTGTAGGAGATCAGTGCTGTCTCCCTCGGGGGAGGGAGAGAAGGCCCATGGCAGGGCCTCAGAGCCTGCTAGGACCCCCGCGGACCGGACCGGGACCTAGTGGGGGGACGTGGTGCTTCCCTGCGGTGCGTGGGCCGCTTTACCTCTAGGAGCCCCGCCCCTGAGCTCCTGCCGGCTTTGGTCTGGGAGCCTCACTGCCCACCTTGTGTCCTGCAGGTACTGAACGAAGTGACTGAAGACAACTTAATAGACCTGGGGCCGGGGTCTCCAGCCGTGGTGAGCCCGATGGTGGGGAACACGGCGCCTCCATCTTCACTCTCCTCCCAGCTTGCAGGCTTGGGTGAGTGAGTGTCTCATGACCATAAAGGGCCTCCACTCTGCTGCCTCCTCTGCAGGTCTCTGTTCTTTCTTGGGAAGCCTACAGAGAGGCTTCCGGGGGATCCTTGTGGAGGCGTATTCCCGAGTCCTGGCCAACTATGCCACCTTCAGTCCATAACTTCTTAACCTAAATTTGAAGTTTGAAACCTGTGTTCTAGAGCAGGAGTGGGGGGTTTCAAGAAATTGAAAGTTGTCTGCTTTTTAAAGAATGTTTTATGGAGTACATTCTCCACAATGGAAGCGATTTCCTTTTCCATGTTAGCAAGGCAGAGCAAGGATGGCACATAGGCATCAGCTCATTGGCTGCTTGGATCACAGGTTTGAGGAGCTTGCCAAAGCCACGTCAGGGCTAGGAAGATGAGTCTGTGGTTGACTGGCAATGTCTGCAGTGGGCTTGGAGACAGGAAGTGGGAGCACCGTCGCGTTTGCTCCTCTCTCGTCCTATCAACCTAGTGTTGGGCTGCCTGAAACTTAAAAGAAGCCAACACGTTTTCGTAGTTCAGTATGGAAGTGTGTGTGTGCCTCTAGATGCTTCCATTGTACTGGATTATATCAACTTAGAACAAGTAAAATTCTAATATTGAAATGCTTAGTAAGCACCGCCTCAAAATTCTTTCGTCTATCTTGGTTTTCTGTTTTCTTCTGGTTGAGTATTTCTTTTCCTGTCTTCTGTCATTTTGGTTGAATGATGCCTTTGTTGAGTGGCCTTGCAGTCGTAATCTGGCGTCTGCCTCACCTGCGGCCGTAATTCCCGTTAGAGCAGGTTTCTCTGCCTCTGTGTGCTGAGCGAATGGACACCGGGTCGGATACCTAAAATTCCAATTAGATTCTGTCCCGCCCTTCTTTAACTCGCCTTGTGCTTTCCCGCCCATTCCCTTCCCTGGCCTCCGAGGCTGCTTGCCAGGCCGGCTCCCTCCTGCCTTCCAGCCGCCTCCTCCATTCCCCTCTCCCGGAGCACTACTCCCCTCGCACACCCTGCGCTTCCAAACCTGTACCCTTCCCTGCCTCCCCACCACGCTCCCACGTGGCCCGAGAGACCCACCCTCGTGTTAGTTCCGAGTCTCTCCGCTTGTTTGGCTGACTCCCTCCCACTCAGGGAGCCTCTGGGGGCCATGGATCCTGTCAGATTCAATTTGACCCACTCAGGATCCAGCTCTGAACCTGGTGGGTGCCCAAGAAATCCCTGCCACATGAGTAAACGCCCAGGCCCTTAGACTGGAGCTGCAGTTAATGAGCAGCCCTGGGGGGAAGGGCACTGTGGGGAGTCTGCAGGTGGCGGTGGTGGTGGTGGCCAGTGGGGGGGTGTCGCCGTCCTGCTGCCAGCAGTCTCCCTTACCTCTCCTGGTCTCTGAGCAGCTGGAGGAAGGGGTGGTCAGTCTGTCCCCCAGCGGGGCCCTGCCTCGGCTCCTCCTGCATGGGGTGGGCTGAGCTGGGCTGGGCGCGCGGAGGAGAGGCCTGCTCCCCCGTAGAACCTCAGCTGGCCTGGCAGTATCCGTCCTGGCCCTGGCCCTCCGTGATCCCATCCCGTGCTCATCTGCTGTGTGTTTGTTTTGTTGCCGCAGACCTGGGGACGGAGAGCGTCAGTGGCACCCTCAGTTCACTGCAGCAGTGTAGTCCCCGTGACGGCTTTGACATGTTTGCCCAGACCAGAGGGAGTTCCTTGGCCGAGCAGCGCAAGACGTACGTGGGGCCCCTTCCAGTGGCTCTTCCCAGCCTTGGTCACAGGCCAGCACAGAGAGGCCTTTCACTGACCATGTCCGAAAATGTCAGACGCTTTAAAATACGGCCCTGAGGACTTGGCACTAGAGGCAGGCATGGGCTGAAACCCCCTCACACACACACCTTCCCATCCCCATGCGCGCGCACATACACACTCACACACACACACACACACACACACACACTCCCCTCTGCCTGGGGGCTGGTTGCCATGTGGTTACTCCTGTCAGTCAGAGAGCCTGCTCTTTGCCCCTCCTCCCCACTCATCTGCAGCCCTCCCCACCCCCAGGCAGGAGGGTGTAGGCTCCTAGCAGCAAGATTTTCCTGCCTAAAAAATGTGGTCAGGGTAGAGGCTCCTCTGACAGCAGCTCTGGTAGGGGTGACCCATATGGAATTGGGGGAGTTCATTTCAAAATAGACAAGCCCCCGTATCTCCGAAGGCGCCGGGCATGCTCTCCCCACCTTTCCTGGGGCGCAGTGTCTTGGTGCCATCAGCTCCCAAAGACCTGCTCAGGTCTCGGCAGGATGCCCAGAACCCAGGACCCCGTGTTCCTGTCCCAGCAAACATTGCTTATAAAACAGATACAGCTAAACGGGCCGGGGACAGAGGAGGAAACCCCGTAGTCAGTGTCAGCGACAGTGCCAGGCCCCACAGACCACTGTCCTTGTCAAACGCCTGAGGCGGCTGCTTATAAGGTGAGAATTAACACGACTGCCTTTACCCCATCCCCCTCGGAGGAGTTTCTGGGCACTCGGACATGCTGTCTTGTCAGTGGAGAGGGATGTTGAGGTGCACAGTGTCCTCTTAGCAGAGAGTGGTGGCTGAGCTAGAACCCAGGTCTCCTAGCTTCGGCTGCAGGGAGATAGACAGCGTCAATCCTTAGCCTCTGCCCAATGCCGAGGTCTTGGCAAACGTTTCTCTGAGGACATCTGGTGAAGGTGCTCTGGGACAGAAGGTGATTACAGGTCACTGCCCCCCGCGTGTGACCACCAGGGAAGAGCTAACTGCTGTGCTTCTTGTCTCCAGGGTAACCTACGAGGATCCCCAGGCTGTTGGAGGACTCGCTTCTGCACTAGACAGTCGAAAGCAGAACTCGGAAGTGGTAGGTCTTCAACTGCTTTCCTGCCTGGAGTCTCCTGGAGGGCAGGTTGGGAAAGCTGGCTAGAGGATGCAGCGAGAGCTAGCTTGCACGGAGGGTGGGAGCACACGGAGAGAGACTCGTGTGCACCTGCGTGCCAGCAGAGCCTCGTTAAGTCTTCACGTGCCCTGAGACAATGCCCCTATGAACTCTCCCATGATACCCTAGAGGAAGCAGGCCCAGGAGGTGGAGACAGGTCCAGGGGCACCAGAGAGCACCCAGGAAGGGGACTCCCCCCAGGAGAGGAACTTAAGAGCCTCTGCCCTATGGGAGGGCCCCCATGGACACAGGTCATGTGGCCAGAGAGTGATCCTTTCACATGTCACAGTGCCTGTGGTGGGTGGTGCTCTGACAACTGTGACCCTTACAAGGAGGAAACGTGTTGATCTGAACCACATCCCCGCTCACTCATGACTGGCTCAGCAGGGCAGTGGCAGCCCCAGGATGAGGCAGTGCAGGTCAGGATGTGTTTGCGAGCCAGAGTGGTTGGGTGGCCAGGAGGGGTCCTGGGAAACTCCAGACAGGGAGGCGCTGTGCAGCGGATAGACTCGTTCCAGCCCCGGAGCGCCGCTGCAGTGTCTGAGGTGTCAGACTGCGGAGGGGGAGAGGGTTCGTGTCGTAATGCTTCTCAGGAGACTTTCTCCTCTCTGTCTCACTAAGAAATGTGTGTGGATGCGTGTCTGCAGGGCACGGGGGAGAGGGGCTCTTGGGACTGCTGCCTACCAGCTGGAACTCCTGTCAGGGTCCCCAGGCTGGGCTAGAAAGGGAACATGCACACGTGTCCATTGGACAGGAAGGTTTGCAAGGGCTCGTGACTTCCCAAATACCAGCCCTTGGCCCCCTGCAGCACCATGCCAACGGGCCGGCGGGCAGTAGAGCTGTGGCCTGCTTCCTGAGAAGCTGGCTTGTGGTGGAAGGGATGCCCCACCTGCTGCCCCAGCCAACTAGATCGGAGGGTGTGCATCCCTCCGCACTGGCCGCCAGGGGGCACCCAGGTGCAACCTGTTGCCTTGGGTTCTCAGTGCCTTCTTTTCTACCAGAGGGGAAGTGGTGCCACCCAACCCCTGAGACTGGGATGCCCCAAATCTATGCAGCGGTTCTGGTTCTGGTTCTCCCATTACTTAGAACATCCTTCACCTGGCCCAGACGGCTTTAGAGAGCTGAGCTGGGCGCTGCCACACTGCCTGTGAGGGTGCCCCTCCTGCTGACCCTGCCGGCCTGGCCTGGGAGTGGCCCTGTTCCTCAGCCAGGCCAGTCTCCTTTGCTCCCCACCCTGGCTTCAGGGCCCGCTCTGTCCTTGTCAGGTGTGTCCTGCCACACCCACCTTCCAGCGCACAGGCCTGGTCTGAGTCTAGGATAGTGGGTGCCTCCCGCCCTTCACCCTGCAGTGCAAGGCTCAGACTGACTCTGCTTCCAAAGGTCTGGATGACATCATTTGGTGGTAGGCAGATTGTCCTCCCTGTCTACTGCTCAGTGGGACCAGGACACGGCCACAGCCTTCATGGGGTGGCGGGGTGCATGCTGGCCGTGTGCCTGGGTGTGCACGTGTACATGCGTGCACACACGTACACACTTACCCATGGGTATCACTCAGGTCACTGTGGACGCATCCCAAGCCATACTGACCTGGAAACAAAAATGGGGCCAAAGGTAAAACCCAGAACACAACAAAGAAGGGAAGACAACTGGGGAACCCCCACAGATCTAATCCTGCCAAGCTGGTCATCTTCGCTTCAAATAGTTTTACCATTCAAGAAGACCATCCAGGGAACCAGCAGTTAGCGTAATGGCTATGTCGCTGGACTCCCACGTAGTCGACCGCGGTTCGCGTCCCGGACCCGGTGGCTTAAAACCCACACTGGGCGCGTGTGCGTGCGTGCCCAAGATCCCGAGAGGAGAATGGAGGAGAAGGGATTGCGGCGTGGCCATCCCCCCTGGGGGGTGATTTCTCGCTCTCTGTCTCTCTGTCTCTCTCTGTCTGTCTGGTGAGCGCACGCGCCCTATAGTGAAAAACCCCTCAAACAAAAAAAAGAAGACGATCAAGAATACATTAATGCTTACACTCAACATTCAGGTTAAGATTTTAGAAGAGTACTCAGGCAACTAGAAAAGAGACGAAATGTGGAAGGGAGTTCGAAGCAAGTATAGACGATTTTGTAAAGGCCGGTTCTTGGCCAAGCTGGCCATGCCACCCTGGTAGCCCTAAGCAGGAGAAGCCGCTCAGCCGCCCGTGTGACCCCTGGTGCTTTTCCGGGTGTGTGGGCATAGTCGACACACGTACACGTTACCCTGTCGGCTCTTGGTTACTAAACTTCTCTCCTCTTTTCCAGGCAGGTAAGGGGGACGTGCTGGGGTGGGGACCAGGGTGGGGGCATCAGGCCACATTCCTGACATGCCAAGCACTTGAATGGTGGCCTTTCTGTTTCCCCATTATGTGCCAACGGCTTCTTTACCTCGGGTCTTGCTGTGACTTTCTTTCTGGGGCTTTTCTGTCCTTGGCCCAGCAGAGAGGGACAGGTGGGGACTCTGACCTGGAGCCTATAGACAGCTGGCTCATAACTCAAGGAATGGTGAGGCGCCGCCAGCTGGGCCAGCCCTCCTGTGCAACTGCCTAGCTTCCTCCTGCCGCCTGCCGAGCCCTGTGACCAGACCGCACAAGGCCACACTCCCTCCTCCCGTGCCGAAGCTCCCCTTCTGTCTCTGTGTAATCTCCTTAAGCCACTGACTTCCAGCCCCAGAAATGCCTTCTCTGGTTTTCTGCTGAGTCCCTGCCCCTGGGCCTTCTGGACATGAGCAGGAGCCAGAGGAGAGGCCCTCCCTGCTCTCTGGAGCTCCAGGCATCGGCAGTATTCGCTTTTCCAGGATGAGCACAGGGCACTGTGGCTCCCACCTGGGAGGGACACCTAGAACGTCAGAGAAGCCCCTTCTGGCCCAGTGCCCGCGAATTTGGCAGTCCTGGACTTTTAATCATTTAGCCATTGGTGTCTACGAAGTTCCCCAACAAGATTTGAGGTCCCTGAAGTACACAGACAGAATAGGAACAGAAAGGACCACGCCGGGCTGTGGAGTCTGATGTCGTAACACAGCTGCTCTCACAGGGTCGGGCTCTTCCAGCAGAGACCTGCGAGGGTGTCTCCTGCCTCGGCCAAGCCCGGCCAAGGAGAGAGGGTGACCTCATCCCAGGCGGCTCGCCTCGAGGCGACCACTTCTCCTCTAACACAGGGCCCACAGCTTCGTGTGCACGTGCTGGGCCCAGAGCGGAGAGAAGGCCGGGAGGGAGGGATGGAAGCAGCAGAGTCGCAGGCCCCGGGCCTCTAGGTGGGGCCAGCTGAGGGAGACACTTGGCGGCCCCATGAGCTGTGCCAGGCTGTGGCCAGGCGAAGGGCCTAGACAGGCGGAGCGTCCAGGAGAGACCAGGCAGGACCACCCGAAACGCGGGAGCGAGGGGTGTCTGCCTGCCCAGTTCAGGCTGGCACCCTCGGCACAGCCCTGCCCAGGCAGGTGGGTCTCCTCCACCGTCACGGCAGCAGTGCCTTTCCCTCCGGGCGAACGCCCTGTTTCTGCCCCAGCCCCAAGGCCACTTGGGGGGATAGGCCAGCCTGAGCCCTCACTTGCTTCCTCAGGGACAGCCCAGCCTCTGGCCCACGCATGGAGACCCTGTCTCCTCCATTGTCCAAACCCAGCAGAGTGTTCTTTGTCCCTGCGAGTCCTGCAAAAAAGGATACTGCCCACACAGACTCCCGAGTGTGGCCTTGGCAGCTGGTAGAGGCTGCTGCCTCTGCCCGCACGCTGCCCCCACCCTGTCCTGCGTAGAGCTCCCGTCTCCCACTCCCCAGCTCCACTAACAGCTAACCTGGTGTCACCCGCCAGCCGCAGCTCTCTGTACAACACGTGTTAATGGCTCTGCCGTATTTCCCGTAGTGTAGAAGCCCCGAGTCTGCCCAAGCCTCCCGGGTACAGATTCTTTACATGGAGACTTTTTGAACTCTTGAGTAAGACCAAAGGCTTTAGACTGCTCCTGCCTTTGGGGTAGTGGTTGAAGCACTGTAGGGGTCATTTCATACAAGGGGACTGCAGAAAGTTCATGGGAGAATGTCATTGTTTTGGTGTGAAATGAATTTGAAATACATGCAGAGGTTTTTTTTTTTTTTTCATAATATGCATTTCCATGAACTTTTAGGAGACTCCTTATAGCACCCCTGAGCTACAGAAATTGCTCCTGCTGTGAGGAAGATCAGATAGGTGGGTTTCCTGGGGGCTTGGGCTGTGGAAGCTACAGAGGGGCATCTGGTGCCCGCCCGCCCCAGGCCCCGGGCCCCAGGGGTGTATGGATCCCAGCACAGCAGTTAGCTGGAACACCAGGCTCCTCACCAGTAGCAGAGAGACACGATCTGGCGTGGCCAGGCGAGTGGCTCCCCGGAGACTGCCGGCCTTCTGCTCGCTGGGCCCGGCCAGCCTCTCCAGCTCCTGGGGCTTTCTCACCTCGTGGCCGTGATCAGCTAGGGGTGTCTCCAGGGGGTGCAGCCTGCTGTGACAAGAGCAGCAGTAGTTTGGTGAGAAGCCTTCGCTGCTGCCATGGCCTGCCTTGGGCCAGAAGGGCCCCTTCTCAGGCCTGGAGGTCCCCAGGGCCCTCCCACTCCTCGTGGATGACCTGACCCGGAACCACCCCCCACCCCCCACCCCCAGCAAGGCTGCGGCTAAGCCAGTGCAGCGCCGTTGCCCTTGGGCAGGCGACCTGCCTGCAGGGGCAAGTGGAGCCAGGGCTAGGGCAGCGCTCCTCCGCGCAGACGGGTCCTGCCAGGCTCTGAAGGGCGTGGGGCGGGCGGTCCACCTGTCTCCCCAGCCGGCCGGCATGCCTGTCTGCAGAGGGCGCTCGCTTCAGGCCTCGGGCTCCCTTTCTTCTCTCTTCACACCCCTTCTCTCCGTCCCCTCCTGCAACTCCACTCTTCCCCAGACCCCTCGAACCAACTTTCAGCTAAGGTCATTGCCCGAGAAGATGCTGAAATCACAGCACATCGGGCCGAGAGTTCGAGGGACCTGCTGGGCCAGCCCTTCGTCTCAGGGATGAGAATGCCTGCCGAGGCCTCCCGGGGCCTGGGCGAGAGAAAGTCCCCTGAGACTGAGCGCGGACCTCCTCTAGCCAGGGCCCTCCCTTGCCTGGAGAGGGAACTGTGTCTTCCTCAGCTCAGCGTCTTCGGCTCCCAGTGTCCAGGCAGTGTGTGTCCGTGTCTGGCCGCGTCTGCGTTACTGGGAGGACTTTACCCGCGCAGTACTCAGGTGCCGACTTCCCGGCAGGACGTTTACACAACCAAGACCTGTGTCTGACCGCAAGAAAGCCAGCCCCCCTTCCAACACCCGCTCCGCGCTGCTTCATGCTCCGGGGCCAAGTGCCTTCCGTACTGTACCTTCTGACGGCCGACACAGCCGAGGCACCCTCCAGGCTGTCCGGGGCTTCTGAATGCAGATGCTTAAAGCTAAATAAGACCCAGAAGTCACTTGATTTGCCCAAGCGTCTGCCCTCTGCCCCTGCCTCTCCCCCAGAGTCGGAGGGTTCTCAGGACAGAAGAAGCTGGGGAGCTGTCTGGTGAAGAAGCGGTCCAGAGCCGCGCGTCCGGCTCCAGGTCTGCAGCCGACCCTCTCCCGCCTCGGCCTGGGTCTGAGGGTGCGGGTGGGGGGCCTCCCTGTAAGCACACTGCTCTTCTGGGAGAATCTCAGAGTGGGGAGAGAGGTGCTCCTAGGATCCGGCCGTGGTGGAATTGTTTGTTCAGGGGGAAAGGCGTTTCTCAGATGTCACTATTCCTTTTTTGAGTGTGCTGGCCCTCAAGATTAAGCCTAAAAGATGAAAATTGGAACATGATCCCAGGCCTCAAGCGATTTTTTTAAATAAAAATAAAAGCAACAACAAAATAACGATTTTTCAGGCTGTCGTAGCACCGCCAGGTCAGTACACACAGTCTTCTTCCTAGCTGGCCTGGAGCTAGACAGGTATAAAGGAGGGGCCGTGAGACCAGCAGTTAGTGTAATGGCTATGTCGCTGGACTCCCACGTAGTCAACCGTGGTTTGAGTCCCGAACCCGGTGGCTTAAACTCACGCCAGGCGCGTGTGTGTGCGTGCCCAAGATCCCGAGAGGAGAATGGAGGAGAGGGGACTGTGGCGTGGCCATCCCCCCTGGGGGGTGATTTCTCGCTTTCTGTCTCTCTGTCTCTGTCTGCCTGGCGAGCGCACACACCCTATAGCAAAAACCTCTCCAAAAAAATAATAAATTTAAAAAAACAAAAAGGGACCCCGTGTGCACTGGCAGCTGCCGAGGGGTTTCTTCCCTCCGGAGACACGGCTGACTTTCTGAGCTTGGTGCTGGGGAGGTGGGCATTTCAGGAAGGCGTCAAGGGAGAGGGCTTGCCAGCGAGAACGGAGAGCAGATCACGCCCCGAGTGCCCCCCTGGGTTTTCCCCTACTGCTGTTTTTTGTTTGTTTGTTTTTTTAAGAGAGATTTTGCTATAGGGTGCATGTGTTCACTGGAGAGACACAGAGATAGTGAGAAATCATCCCCCAGGGGAGTAGGCATGCCACAGTCCCTTCTCCTCCATTCTCTTCAGGATTTTGGGGCACACACACACATGCCTGGCGTGAGTTTCAAGCCGCTGGGTTCAGGACTTGAACTGTGGGCAGCCAGCTTAACCACCACCCCACGCCACCTGCTGGCCCCACTGCTTTTTCAGGTTTATCTATTTTATTAACACTGGAGAGCACACATGCTTGCATGAAAGAGAAGCACCTTCGACGGGGGCTTTACACACCACAGTTCTCTCCCCTTCCAGCGCAGCAGGGCCTTGGGCACCTGCACGCCTGCTTGCTTCAGGTCAGTGGGTTGTGTCCAGGCCGCCAAGGACAGCATGGCTTCCACACTGCAGCTCAGGCTGGGCTGCCCCTCCTGCTGTGCACGGGGAGGTGGGAGCCACAGCAGGGCTGCGAGCACATCCGGGGCTTCGCGAGCCCCACCGCTGTGGTTACGCACGTGCTCTTTGTCCCTAGAAGTCATGCCAGGGTGCTGACGACTCCTTTTCCCCCCAGTTTAACATTCTTAAGTCTCCAGTAGGTCAAAGAAATGAAAGGGCCACATGGGCAGACTCCCCTAATCTAAGCAGTGGTCGGCCTGAGCCTTTCTGAAAATGCACATGTGGGCTCCCGGGCTGGGTCTGCAGTCAGGGCTCAGAGCATGTGCCTCCGAGTTGGAGGGCCAGCTCCTGAGAGTGAGCAGCGGCTACAGTGGGGGCTCGTGCCAGACCCCCCGCCCCCAGCAGCAGGCGTGGCCTCCAGACCTGGGGACTAGAGGCCGTATGTCAAAGCTGGTGATAGGGGTTCTGTGTTTGCTGACTTCCTTTTCTCTTAATTGCCAATGAGTGCGTGTGCTAGCCAGAGAGAGACAGTGAGGGAGAAAGCTCCTTCCCCGGGGTGTGGCCGTGCCACGGTCCCTTCACCGTCTCTCCATCCTGTCACGTCGGACTCGGGGCACACATGCACACGTGCCTGGCATGTTTTTCAACCCACCAGGGCTGGGTTCAAACCAAGCCTGCTATGTGGACTCTGGCTCTTATGACTATGGGACTGGGCCCAATTTTTTGTTTCTTTCCTTTGTTCAGAGCCAGTCTTCTTGCTGCCTATTTTAGTTTGCGTTTTTCTTTATTCTTACTCTTTTTTTAATTTAAGTTTGCTATAGGGCGTGTGCTCTTTGCAGAAATAGAGACAGAGAGGAGAGAGAAGAAATGGGACATCACACCCTGGGGGTGGACACCCAGCGATCCCTTCTCCTCCATTCTGCTGTTGGGAGCTTGGGCACGCACGCACACGCGCCCTGTGTGTTTTCAAGCCACCGCGTCTGGGACTCAAACTGCGCAGTTGGCCATGTGGGATCCTGCCGCCTTAACCACCTGCCGGCCCCGATTCTTACCCTAGCTCCTGACATTGGGTTAAGCCAGCTATGGACAGTTCTGATTTTTCCCTGGAAATAGTGGGGTCACAGGGCATCCCCCAGAAGGCAGACCCAGGATGGTGAGGGGACAGGTCACCTTGGTAAAAGGCCATTACCTCCTTCTCTAGGCTGGAGCTGATATTTTGTCAACGTGGCTTCGGGGGTCAAAGGTTACCTTCTTATTTTAGCCATGTGCATTCCCCAGACTCTGTCCCCAAGGGCACTGACACAGGTGTCCCCGAAGCGCTGCCCAGGCAGTCTTCGCAGGCGTGTCTCCGTTTCCTGGGAGCCTGCTCCCCAGCCCTCCCCAGCACCCGGCCTCGGCTCCCAGCTCGCAGACAGACTTCTTTCTTTGACTGCTGAGGCACAGCCTGCCACTGAACGCTGGAGGAAGCGGGGGCACTCGGGGCTGCCGCCTGCTCCTCCCTGAGACACACAGAAGACGGAGCCCCGCAGCCCCTTTTGTCATCAAAGCCCTGGTCTGTGCCGGGTTCTGCTGGTGGAGAGACGCGCCTGCCTTCCGTCCAGCAGGCCACACCCGGGCTGACGGGCACGCGCTTCCCGGTGCCCCTCTCCTCCACCCAGAAACGCACCAGGATGCATTTCCAACGACACAAGCGCCAGCCGTCTCCCAGACCTCCCAGCTGCCGCCCGAGCGCCCTTGCCCCCCGCCCCGCAGGCTGTCTCTCGGCCTCCCTCTTGCCGGTTGGCATTGGGGCCCGCTCCTGGCCGACTGGGCAGGGCCCGACAGCTGCAGGTCAGGACTGCCCCAGAGGACTGACTGTCATGGCCGATGGGTTCCACACCAGCCTGCAGGGCCAGTGCAGGTGCCTTGCCGCTCTGGGATAAGATCCAGGATAGGAGGGTGGACACAGTAGTCAAAAAGCTCTCCATTTCAAGATCACGTACTGCCGCCTCCCCGCCGACCAGCCTGCTTGCTGCTTATCATTTGCCAGCTCATCGCTTTCCTCACTGCCATCTCATACGTGGCCGCCCGTGTTGCCCGCGTGCTGTGCCGTGTCTGTGCTGTGTGTACGTTTCCGTTCTGTTCGGGGTTGCTTTTGACGATTTACTTTGTTCCGGTGTTCTGTCCCCTCCCGCCTGGCTGTGGGTGCCTGGCCTGCTCACGCCTCCATAGATCCCTGTTACGCAGTCCTCTGTCATGGACGACATTGAGGTGTGGCTCAGGACGGACCTGGTGAGACTCGACTTTTATACTTGCTGTGCGGGGTGTGGAGAGGCAGAGGGAGGCGGGGCAGGCGGCTTCTGCAGCCCCGGTCATCACAGCTCACCTTCCCCTCCTGGAGACCGGCTGGCACGGGGCACGGGCTCTGGGCACGGCCGCTCTCGCCCTCGCAGGCCTGCGGGGTGGCCAGGTCCCTGCCAGACAGCCGAGCACAGTGAGAGCAGAGTGGCTCCAAAACACGCTTCCTTCCCCCCAGCCGCTTTGCAGTTTCAGGGGCGTGTGTGTGCTTGGGTTTTATTTGGGGGAGGGGGTGCTTTTTATTTAGGGTTTTGGGGGTTTGGGTATTCCTTTTTGTTGTTGTGAGATACACACATGAGTTGGGTATTTGCTTTTGTTTTTAATTTGCTGCCATCCCCCTTCCCGGTGTCTGCTGCCATTTTTGCCTTAGAACCCCGCCCCAAGGTCCCCACCTAGCAGACAGGGTGAGGCGACAGGGTTAGCCCGGGAAATGGGAGCGCAGCCCAGGGAGGGCGAGCAGAGCGCTTCGTCCATCCGCAGCCTTGCAGGCCGGTGTCTCGTCAAGACTTGCTCCAGGAGAGGCACCTGGGCTAGCTGGGTTCTCCCAGACCTGAGACACCCCTTTCCTTGCTCCCAGCTGCTCCCTCTTCAGGGGGCTCTGATCCAGAGCGCAGTACCCTCCTGGGTTCTTACACAGGGGTCAGCCTGCTGTCGATGGGCTCGAGACCTGGCCACCACCCCCACTAGGACCACAGGCCTCGACCTCAGCCTTCTCTGGGCCTGGTTTCCCAAATTCACTCACTGCCAAGCGTGGCGGCCTCTGGGTAGCAGGCCAGGAACACCCGTGACGTTCTTCCTGAGCGGTGCCTGGAAAGGAAGCAGCGTCTCTCACAGCAGCAAAGCACAAGGGTCCAGGGCCTCACCTTGCAAGGTGGGCCCAAGGCTAGAAAGGGAAAGGGCCTGCCCAGCCAGGCCACCTAGCAGGTCAGTGGTGGAGCCAGGCAGGATCCCAGGCCTCCTCGCCAGCCCAGGCTGTGCCGCTCCCCAGCAGGCCCCTCCGGGGAAGCCCTGAACACACCGCTGTTCCCCAGCCCCGGGCAGCTGTGTGCACTTCCAGCAAAATCGGGCCTGGTCCTGAATTGCAAAGCATGGACGGAGTCCTGGTGCCCTTCCAGGAGCTGCCGGTGTGGGGTCTAGGCCCCAGGAGAGACTGGCGCAGGTCCTAGGAGCCTGGGATCTGGCTTCCAGAGGCACGGGCATCCACCAAGGCCTGACACCGGCTGCACGGCTCAGTCCCTCCAGACCTCATGCAGCTCCCGGTGTTGGTGTGGACAGCATTTTCCCAGAACCCTGCAGCTATGACCTTTCGTGGAGGTGCGCAGCATGGGGCTGGGCATGAGTCAGGCCCAGCCTCCTCAGAGCCGCCCCCTAGGCCTCTGCTCAGAGTGTCAGAGGGTGGGCCTTCCTGCAGCCCAGCCAGAACTGGCCTGGCCACCTTGGGAATTTTCTGTCTGGCGCTCTGAGGGATTGGAACCTAGAACCTATTTTATTTTTTGGTTTTGAAAACAAAACTTCTATTTCTCCATTAAGAGAATTTTATTATTACAGAAATCTGAAAGCAGGGGAAATTTGCAAGTTTTGCTTGGGTGGATGTGGGCGGGCAGAGGAGGCTGGGTGGGCGGTCAGGCCACTGTCCTAACAGTTCTCCCTCTGCTCCCCCTGCAGAAGGGCGACGACCTGGAGGAGGGTGTCACAAGTGAAGCCATGGCCCGGCCGCGGCCCCACAGCCCCACTCTGCCACTCCTGGTCACCACGGAGCGTCCGCTGCCCATGCACCCACGGGTGCCAGGCCCGGGGCGGCGGGCCTCACGGTGCTGGTCCATCCGGGCCTCCTGCTGGCAGGAGTGGTGTCAGAGGGAAAGCACGTGTGACCGGCAGATTGCCTCCCCACCCCCCCCTCCCCCCCCCCCGCCCCC